GGCTGACAGCCACTGGGGACACCTGCAGTGCCAGATAGTGACCTTAGGGTGTGTGGGAAAAGCCATCCCTTAGCGCTCATTTCTAGCAGCATGATCCATTCCTTTAAGTTTTGATTTCCAATTAGTAATTTGGGTAAATACTACATATAAGCTGAAGGAAGCTAAATAATTTAGGCAGATGGTTTTCACTATTTTTTCACTAGTATATATATGTGTGCATTTCCACTGAAGAGTAGAAATGGTGCTTCTGGCTAGGCATGCTTTAGGATGACAAAGGGTGTCTCTGTTCCTATCCAGTTGCTGTTGAGCTGGAGTCTAAAATTAATCTCCTCTTTTTCACCTCCAAAGCAACTGGAAGGCAGAAATGACAAAAGTCTTGAATTCCTGGAGTTGATTGTGGCTCTTCATCCCAAGAACATACAGGAAGTGGATCATCATTGAACATACTTTTATTTTCCAGGACTAATTTAATGGTTAGGTACCTTGGGCAGGAGGGGAGTGAGGGATTTAGAGCTGGATAATAACAACGTAATGCATTGAGCTACAATGGGATTTGTCTATTCTTAACTGTGCAAAGAGATGCAGTTTGGTTGCATCCCCCACCCACGTGCTATTACCAACTGGTACATTCCTTGACTGTGAGCATGTAAATCCAGAGGGCTAACATTTTTATTTATTTATTTATTTATTTATTTATATTTTTCAAGGTCAATGAGTAGATTCTGCTGTTCAGTTATTAAAGTGGATGAGAGATTTCTATGACTAGGTCATTGTGGAGTGGGGTGGGATTTTTTGTTAAGCATAGTGTTAGTATTCATCTGCTCTCTCCCCTTTCTCTCAAAGCCTCAATTGTTTCTGTAAGCTTTACTTCACTGTGTGAAAACCAGTGGAAGAGTTCTGCAAATTCTCAGCTGTTAAACTGCATATGGTTTTTCCAGAATGGGATATAGGTGTCTGGAGTCACAGGCTGCCAACTTGATAGTGGGGGACGGGAAGGGTTGCAAGAGGCACCTACTTTGCATCCCTGTTTTCTTTCCTCTCCTTCTATTTCTAAGTTATACGTTTGTACATTATATACAGGAGATCCTATCAAAAACCTGTGCCTGGCACAGAAGTCGTTCTGCTTTTGGGAAGGTAACTTGTGCTGCCATTTATCTCGTCAATAAGTGCTATTATTCAGTGTAGAAACATTTCAGGGAGATTTTCAAGGCACTGCCATTCTTTAACATAGTAGTAGAGAGAAAGTAGCATCTCGTAGAGTCAGATCAACCTTTGAGTAAAATCAAGCTTATGAGACTTACCAAATGCTTTGTATGTTTATATTATTACAAGTGAAGCTTTCTGATATCTTTTAATTGCACTGGGAAAGAAAAAATACGTGAATCTTCTGCTGTCTTTCAGTCTGAAGATAAATAATGCAACAAGAAGTGTGCTTGAGTGGGACAAGATTTATACAGAAGCAAGTAAATCTCTTTTAGGGAAAAGCACAGGGTTTTTTAACAGTGCCATAAAACCATATGATTTACTCAGCAGCTTAAGTAGGCAACTTGTATAAAATATGCATAGCCTTATAGTGTTTTATTTTGAAGTACAAAAATTTCCATGCTTTACTTAATATTTGTAATTGTAAGCTGAAATAGCCTTAAGTTTGTCACTAGGCAACTATTACTGGCCTGTAAACTTGCATTAGTCCTCTTCAGTGGGGATTTTGTAGCTGGTATTCTAAAAATGCCTTTGCAGAAGTTTAACTCAAACCAGCATGTCCATTTACGTACAGTAATTTATATCATAAGTGTAAAATTTTCATGGTTGCATTTATTGTAAGCAGTAATTGCTGTCATTCATATCCAGGATATTTGCAAGAGGAGTAGGTGAATTTAGCTCACATAAAATTCTGATGAAAAGTACTCGTGGTGACTGTTGCTTGTAGGAGTTGGTGTTTATTGGCAGTCTCTTCAGTCCTGCCAGTTACTGCATAGCTGGAGTTTGGTCCAGGAGATTTGATTAACGTAACCTTACATGGTCCTGTTGCTGATGAGGTGCAGAGGCAGGTGTGCCCATGCTGTTTGTGGGGACTGTATTAAATTTAATGAAGCTTCTGATTTAACAGGAAGTGTATACATATGTTTGCAGACAGCCTCACCCTTTATAGTATGAGGTTTTCACTGAGAAATATGCCTTCTCTCAGTCTTGCTATCTTGCACTAACATGGTATATATGGTATATATACAGTAAAACAAGATATAACACCCAGCACGATACTGGTTCTTCAGGCAGGTTACAGAAGTCTAGTCATGTTCTCATTCGTGGATAAGCTGTAATCTGTAGAAGTCTTTCTGCCTTCATCTCCAGCCTGAACAAGAAACGTGCAAAAGGTCCTTGTTAGTCCTCTTCAGAAACTGTTACTTTGAGTAAGTTGTGGAAGATGCTCTTGGGTTACCCATTACCTTTTTGGGAAGTGATCTGGCACAATTAAAAGACAGTTGAGCAGTGAATGGTGATGTGGATGTCAAGAAACCCTTGGCATTTGTCCATCCTTGTTTGTTACATTTCAGGATTGACTGTTTGAGCCTTCCTTGTGTGATGTCAGTTTTCACGGTCTGTGTTAAACTGCAAGATGTAGATTTCAAAAGCAGGCCCTGATGAGCCAGGAGGCTGGGGTAGCAGGAGGTGAAAATGGGGAGCCGTTCAAGGCTTGTTCTAGGCTGACTACAACAAGGGTTATCCTGTGACTTTGCAAGCAGAGAGCTTGGAAGGGTGGGAGGGCAGGGACAGGACAGTGGTATGCTCTCTTTCCTTACTTAATAAAGGTAGGAACACAAACACAGTAAGAATTACCTTTGCAATGGTTTTGTATTGGTTTTGACCCCAGAAGTATCAAAAAAAGATGGCAAAGTGCCAAGAGTAAGAGCTACACCAGCAGGAAGTGTCCTTAATAAATCAAAGAACAAATAGTTCTGAGGCATAGATAAATGTGTTTATGGAAGGTAACCATGGGTGATGGCAAATATACCACCATTTTTCACAGTGTCTCTAGGCAGTTAGGAAGATATTTTGCCAATGGTCATAGGAGGAGGGGAGGGGGCAGAATCCTCCTCAAAATTGTAACGTACTGTGTTGCAGAGCACCAGGAGGAGCTAACAGTGTTCTCTGCGTGGGTTTTATTACTTGGCAGGATCCACTACGACTAAATCTCAAAGGACCACTTTTTTGAAAGAAAAAGTTGCATTTATTTGTATATAATTCAATTTGTTAGCCAAAACCCAGCCCCACCTTAGCAAACCATGTATGGTCTTTATTGTAAAATCTTTCTAACTGCTTGCTAGACATTACTGGAAAACTGTGTGGCTGTGAAGGCAGTCACTTGTTAGAGTTCACAGTTCCCATGTTAATCACAACAAGCATGTGCAGTGAAGAGCTGAGCCACCAGTGATCCTCTTCAGTTGGGATAACATCTGCACTCTATTTTCTTCCTTTATATAATTACAACTGTTAATATTTTCTTAATGTTTAGCATGCAGTGAGGAGTGTTCTTCTGAAATTATGAATTAAATGTATCTTTTAAGAGGAAGAAAGCCAAGTGGCTAATGCAACAACCTAACTTTAACTTACTTAATATCTCTAGCTGACATAACACTTGCCTTCAGCAAAGCAAAAGCACCTCACAGGAACTCTTTTTTCAGTGGGAATTTACTCAGATTAATTATCAAATTATAAAAAACCCTGGCACTTCTATGATTGGGTTGGACAAAAGTCATGGACAAAAGTCAGCACCGGGTAATTTTTGCTTAAGTTGTTAAATTTGAAAACAAATGTTGAACGAACCAAAATAAATAAATGACTCTATTTTATGAAATTGAAATGTAATAGGAACCAGACTTGTATCCAACAAGCCTCCAGATACAGTCCATGCTTGCTTTGAAGCAGTACTCACTGTCTGGCTATGTGCACAGGATGCACAGGAGCATGTCTGGTGTGTGAGATAATGGGTTTGGATTTGCAATGCGGCACAGCTCAGCCTCTTTCCCCCTCCATTAAGACCCACCTCGTCTCTCCGTGTCTGAACCCAGTGCTGGAACTGATGGCATAGAGTTTGTGAAATCCATGTGTGCTTTAGGGCATCTTGGGGGAGGTAGAGTGAGTTTTGGGGGAGGTGTGGAACAGCAATGGCTAGACTTTCTAATCGGTTTTCAATAATCAGGAAAATGTAAGCATTAAATATGTTAGGTTTTAATTAGTTTGCTTTCTGGAAATCCTTTGCTTGTTAGGTTGTGAAAACTTACAGCTGTCAACTAAAACTTGGGCAAAAATTCTCTATAGTGATTTCTGAAGCAATTCTTCTGAGGATGCACAAATTTAGACTTAAGCTCCTAAAATGTGATTGTCCTCACAGTGAGAATGTTGACCAGTGGGTGAAATGGAATAGGGCAGGTCAAGTTCCCTAGCTCTGGTAGGGGGTACGAGTCTGCTGGCTGTTCTTAACATGCTCTGCTTTACAGCAGTAGGTGAACTAGGCTGTTATATTCAGGATGCATCCTCGCTTGGAGGCGTAACTAGTACCGCAAGACTACTGGCTTATCATAGATTTAAATCGTCTAACAAGTCTAGCAAATATACACCAATTTCCTCTTCAAAACAAGACCACTTATTTCCTTTCCTCTCTTTTTTATGTAGCTGTAATCCTGTTTACCGCAAGCAGTTTTGAAACACTAAATGTGAGTTAGAAATGTACAAGCAGGTGCTCAAAACTGTTTAGCTTTTTGCCGTTTCTTCTGTTACATCTTTTTGTTAGATGTTTCTACATCTGCATGAAGCACAGTTTATCCTCTTGTATAAATTGACTGAGTGCCACACAAGAGCAGAATTTGAACGTTTATTGGTTTAAATAGATGACTTGACATACTCGGTGGTGTATGTCTGGTTGAATATCAAGTTGTACCAGAGGAGTGTGTGGAAGTCAATACAAAACCCTGTGTAAGACTCCTTCTTTTCTGTGCTAGTGTTTAATTATTGGAGGTGGCCCATGTGGCTTGCGGACTGCCATAGAACTTGCCTTTCTGGGAGCCAAAGTTGTCGTCGTGGAGAAGCGGGACACTTTTTCAAGAAACAATGTGTTGCATCTCTGGCCATTTACAATCCACGACCTCCGGGGCCTGGGAGCAAAGAAATTCTATGGAAAATTCTGTGCGGGATCTATTGATCACATCAGTAAGTATCTGAGGGCAGGGGCACAGTTCAGATAAGAGGTGTACTGAGGTTAGATGATCACCAGAGCCGCCTTGATTTGGCAGAAAGCTCACCTGCCTTAAACATGCTCAAGTGCGTGCTTGCACACACACAGAGGAAAAGAAATGTTCTCATTTAAGCAAAATGGCAATTACGCATAAGACAGTCTTATGGAGCAGCCTTTTAGTTAGTCTGGATTTGTTAAACAGTATTTTTTTATTACAAAGTATGAAGACTATTGTCATTCATTCTAGTATGCTGAAGATAGACACAACCCTTAATCTAATGAAAAACTATGCAAAAGTGGGGTGTTTTACAGGTAAATATCCTGTATAATTTTCTGTCCTAAAATGGTCAACGTATTGGTTAGGAGATCCTTTAAATATTAAAAAGAAAAGTTCTAAAAAAGTATTGCTAGAAACTCACTGAAGTGAGTTTTATTACCTACAAACTGTGCTGCCAGAGGAAATTAAGACAGAAGAGAACAACAGCCTGTGGTGGTTGCTACATTTCTATTCATCACAGTATGGGCAGTAATAATGCTGCATGCTTGTGTTAACAATATCAGTTGGGTGGCATGCTGGTAGCAGCTGTAATTGCTTATGTATTAAATACTTCTTTGTTACTCACTGTCTACAGGTATTCGACAACTTCAACTTATCCTCTTCAAAGTTGCACTTATACTAGGAGTTGAAATCCATGTGAATCTAGAATTCGTGAAAGTCCTGGAACCTCCTGAAGATCAAGAAAACCAAAGTATTGTTTATCATAATGTAGTTTTGTTCTCAATGCCTTCTTTTTGTGTCAGGCATTATGTGCAATCACTCAAGGTAGTTGAATTCTGTCTGAAGAAATGGGAGGTTTTTGCCCTTCTTATTCAGCAAGGTTTGCTGTACACAGTTGTAAGCATTCTGTGTATCCTTGTGGCAGAGCACTGGTAATTCCTAATATATGATCCAGTCTGAGAAGTTGAGGTTTTGCACTATGCCTTTCTGGCATGCATTTGAGGCCTTGTAGGGAGTCTGGTGTGGCTTTTTGGTATCTTCTTGCAAAAACAATTTTTAATTGATAATATAAATATTGAGGATGGATTAAGCTCCCTGGGCCTCATTTTGCTTTCACATTTGATGTAACTCCCACTGGTGCACAGAGTCTTATCAGCCATGTTATGCACGGTTGTTAAACAAAATAGAGAATGATCTATCATTCTTTTTTTTATATTTTTTTAAATAAGATGAGTATTTAGGGTGTGTAGTTGCAATAGAGTATTTTAAGAATTTACTTTCATTAAAAATACTGCACTGTCTGTCTTTAAAGGGTCACATAGTGACAGTAGAATAAATATATTTTATATAAATATAAAATGATATCAATGTATTTTATATGCATTTCTATAAAATATATAAATGTTTTAGGCAGTTAAAGCATATGTAATTATTAAATAGGGACAATACAAATATTTTTGCATAATCAGCTTTGTGTTAATGCAAAGATTAAATTTTGCTTTGTGAGCATGCTCACATTTAATTTCTGTTTAGAAGACAATTAAAAGTATTGATGATGGAATGCTATGTTTCTTCTTTTAATACCCAGCCCTTCACTGTGACCCGTCTGTCTGACAAGAAGTTTAGTGCATTAGGTGATCCAGATGAAATCTTCTGTTCTTTTTTTTTTGTCAGTTTATGAGCTTGACACCTTGCTAACACAGCCTGAACATAGCTTTGACTGCAGCAGAGCTTCCTCCATCAGACCAGACCAGGGCAGAGTTCGGCTCTGTTTGAATGGGAAATGGATAATTTATCCTAATGTCCCTTCTTGAAGCTGTGAAATCACTTCTCCTTTGTATTACTGAAGAATGAATAAATATTATTCTTTGTGTTTTCAGAGATAGGTTGGAGGGCTGAATTTCTCCCCATGGATCACCCTTTGTCAGAATATGAATTTGATGTTATTATTGGTGCAGATGGCCGCAGGAACACATTAGAAGGTAGGCGAATGTGTGCTTAGGAGAACACAAAGCAACAGACTACTTTTCAATCCACTGAAGTCTGCGTGGAAATTATTTTTTATGTGGTATCTTCTGCTTTTGTCGTTAAGTTGTAGCTCAAAATAGACATTTAATGTCATTACCGATTCCCAGCACTGTGTATCTGCATTGCCTACAAAATTCATCATGATGCCATTGGGTTTGCCTCAAGGTTAAGCAATTATATGCTTTAACTTCAAGGACGCTGGCAAGATACATGTCAGGAATTGCGTAGTCTTTGCTATTGTGCCTTCAATTTGTACTGTATGTTTCAGGTAATGACCAAAGCTTGACTGTCAGGTATTTAATGGAGGCATCAGGGGTATTTCTGTCTTACAGAGATGATTTAAATTCAAAAGCAAATAGTTTGGAAATGATACCAAAAATAATAACTGTAAGCAAGGAGGGGAAAAGAGGGGGGAAATGCTTCATGAACTGGAGCCACTTCTGAGAATTCAGGCCATCTGAGCTGTCTGTTTCAGCGAGACACTAGCTAAGCTGCTTCTGTATCACATGAACAAACCTGTTACTTAATTATATATTCGCCTTGTAGCTTTAATTATATCCATGTTAGTTCAGTTCACTAAGTATGCTATTTCCTTTTTTTATTAGCTTCATAGTTTGTCTGCTTATTCTTGTATCTGCCAACCACAATATGTTTAGAGTTAATGCTTGATTAGAAATTTCCCCACAGATTTGTCTAGCTATCCTCCCTAAAAGACTGCTTAAATAGTCAGGTATCAGCAAAGCGGAATTATTCTTACCTCAGCTGCAGACTCTATTGAGAAGTTAATGTGATTATTGTAGTACCAGAGTCTAAGGGAAAAATTAGCACACTGAAGATTGTTTACATACAGAGGCTGGTATTGTCATATTAAATCAATCCCAATGAAATAATGAGGGCATATCAAGAAGCACAAAGATAAAAATTCATAGCTGATTTATTTCTTCTTAAAAACTACCTGTATTCTCTGCAAAGTCATCTGCAATTGGCCTTAAAAATAAGGCCCCTCTGTCCTACTTCAGAATTGACTTACAGATAAAGGGGAACATACAGAGGTAAAAACTTCAGTCAATGTGTGATTGCAAGATTGTGGCTAAGTGGGCTTTTTTTTTTGTGTGTGAAAAGAGGAAGCTAGGATGGAGCAAGAGACCGAGTAACTTTGCAGTCAGTCTCACCTTGGAAATATGACAGTTAAGCCACTGCATATTTTTCAACCCCTAATATCTTTGGAAAACCTCATTAGCTGGGAGTATGTGCACCTAAGCACTGTTCTAGAAGTTTCTGGTTTTCAGATCTTTCTTTGCTGCTTTTGACTGCTGATCCCTTGCATATTTTTTCTTAAGCTGTTTACCATCTATATAGCAAAAATCTTATTTGTTATTTAATATGTTAAAAATGTTTTCCTCTATTAAATTTGATCTCTTCTATTTCCAATCTGCTTTTCTTTAGTCATCATTTATTCTTCACTTCTTCCCATATTGAACTTCTTCCCATGGTTCCCCTCCAGACTTTTTCGTAATGAGACTTTATCTTGAATGCAGTAGAGCTCCAGTTTTGCAGCTTGAAGTCGGGAGAAGAGACTCTTTGCATTTGGAGAAATGATGCAATCTGTTTCTGGAATCTACATATCTGTTGTTTGATATGTACAGCTAGACATAAAAAAGAGAGCAAGCTGCCTTGAGCAGCTCCTCCCTGAAAGTCCAGTGTGACATTTCCAGTGTCTTTAATTCTTTTCTTTGCTTACCAGGTTTCAGGAGGAAGGAGTTCCGTGGAAAGCTGGCCATAGCTATCACTGCCAATTTTATAAACAGAAATACAACTGCAGAAGCCAAGGTAGAAGAAATTAGTGGTGTTGCTTTCATCTTCAATCAGAAGTTCTTCCAGGATCTTAAAGAGGAAACGGGTGGGTGCATCCTCTTTATTTTTTTTTCATTTCCACAGCCAAATACAAGAGATAATAGAGGAACTCTTCATGTGCCAGGCTGCCCTCCTATTCACATCAGTTTAAATTTAGTGTACAAAAAAACCCCCAAGTGATAAAATGCTGTTGATGTCAGTCTTGCAGATGGAGGTGTCCATTTATGGTGCAGTGGAATTTATTTATTTATATTATTTATCTTGGGCGTTGCCACCTCATAGTTTGTTTTAATGTTTAAATTTTTCTCAACTGTAAAAACGTCTGCTATCTTGAACAAATTCAGAAGAGCATTTTCAGTGCCCAAAAATTTCCCTGAAGACATAGTTTGTTTTGTTTGTATCCGTTCACATACTGAACAGCTTAAACCCTGTGAAAAAGGCTCTGCCCTTCTAGGAGGAGTTTATTCTTCAGTTTTGATGTGCAGATCTGATAAACTGAAAAGAATCAGACAGGAATCCGCCATGAATACTTAAAATATAAACTGTGAAATACATCTTTGTGAAGAGGGTTTCAGAATAGTTGCACAGTCAGTACAAGTGTTTCCATTCTTGATGTTCAGATGTATTTCACAGTTTATATTTTATGAAGAGGGTTTCAGAATAGTTGCACTGTCAGTACAAGTGTTTCCATTCTTGATGTTCAGCTGATTTTATTTATTAAAAATTACTACAATAGAAACCCAAACTCCTGGTTAGACCCAGTGCCAGAGCCCCAGCAACCTAAAAAGCGCTTTACTCACTTGTCTCCCGTTTCGGTTTTGGTTGGTTTTGTGGGTTGGTTGGTTTTTTTGGTTGTTTGGTTTTTGGTGGGGGTTTTTTTGTTTGTTGGGGTTGGGTTTTTTTGTTGGGTTTTTTGTTTGTTCGTTTGCTTGGTTGTTGTTGTTTTTTTAATAGGGTCTTGTCCACTAATGCTTTATCCCAGCTGCTAAGGTATCCCAAGAAGGAAAGGCATCTGTGAGGATCAGTCACATGTTGTTAGTAAAGGACACAGACAATGCACTGTACTTGATAACAAATGTATTATCTCTTTTCAGGAATTGACCTGGAGAATATTGTTTACTATAAAGATAGTACTCATTATTTTGTGATGACAGCAAAAAAGCAGAGTCTTCTGGACAAAGGAGTGATTATTAATGTATGTAAAAATGCTGGCTGAAACCTGATTTTATTTACTTGGCACAGAATAAGTGTGAACATCTGCATAAACATTGATGCATGTTATAGAGAGTGTTTATAGAGTTACTACATCATTTCATTAAAGCTCCGATCTCTTAGGTCATACTCTGACCTTTTTGTTACTGTTGTTTTTCCCTCCAGTTAGCACCAAGTTTCTGTAGAGAACTGAAAACAATACGTCCTAAATTTATCAGTTCTGAAACTGGCTGAAATGGGATCTTGACTCACCTTGGAAATATGCAGTGTGGTCACCACACCAGAAAATAAAAACCTCATTATTTAAAGGTGAACTTAGCACAGCTATGTCCAGTTTTATCAGACAAATAAAGAAACATTAAAACCTACCCGAGGCTACGTTGCAAATTCTCTAATGTGGGTAGAACGTGATGAAAGTAGGCTGTAAACACAATGTCCCAAGTACCTTTGAAAGTTCAGGCCTTTGAGGCTTTATTCTTTTTCCTTTTTCTGTAAGATGTAGGGGTTTATTTTCTTTTGTTTCTAGATAGTGTTTTGGCATCATTTAAATTTCTTTTCCTGGAAACCCAAGAGAGGTCAATTTTTCTTAAAGTAAGACAGTGCCAAAACGAGTCGAGTGTGATTTCCCGAAGGAAGTACTTGTGGGGAGCTATCACAAGGATTCTTGGCTTTCTGATGGGACCGCTTAGCTCGGTGCCATGAACTCCTGCCCTTTTGGAGGATGGTCCCAGGGCAGAGCAGCTGGCCTTGCCCAGCCAGGATGGGAGAGGGGAAGGGCAGCAGCCCCGAGCAGTGCAGGGTGAACAGAGCAGGGCATGGGCCATGGGGTTAAGGGGCTGGTGTTTGTAGGTGAGGGCAGTCCTGGGAGGTCTGTGGGCAATTCGGAGAAGAGAAGCAGTGGCTGTGACTGTCAGAGCTCTTCTGACCTGCTCAGGTCTGAGTGGGAAAACAACCAAAAGAGTCTGTCTAAAACAACTGGGCTAATAGCGGTTCTGTGGTATCATCCCTATGATTAGGGGTCTCATCCATGATTAAGCTGGAAATAGAAACTGCCTTATTAATAATCACCAGCTTTAAGTAGGGTGACCTGTAAAGGCAGGGGCCTTCACCACACTGGCCAAAGAAAACCCAGCCCAAAACAGCACAACAGAAAAGTTTCCATGCTCCAAGTTTGAATGTGTTGTTACCAAGGTGTTAACTCAAGCCTTGAGGCTGAGACCTGCATGTTACATCATCGCTGTGTTGATGTTTCTGCTCTCCTGTGGTTTCAGGTGTGGGGTGCACACATGCAAAAAAGCTTTGCAGTGATGATGATAACATCTTTCGATGTGAGGAAAGTAATGTCATGAAAATAGCACATAACTGGAGAAATGGGAGGCACTGTAATACTCTGTTGCAAATAAAGCTGCTTGTTCAGTGTTGGCATAGAAAGTTCCTGTTTGGAGTAGTACAGTAACCTCTGTTTGTGTATTAGCTTTTTGGAGGAGCTCACAAACCTCATTTGGTTCTTTATGCTGTGGGATGTGTGGCTGCCACTCATACTATGACACTGCATTGTTCCCATCCAGAGTACAGCTGGAGTACCTAATCTACATGCTTCTCTCCCTGCAGGACTATATTGATACGGAGTTGCTCCTCTGCGGGGAAAATGTGAACCAGAGCAATTTGCTGTCCTATGCCAGAGAAGCTGCTGACTTTGCAACCAATTACCAGCTGCCTTCCTTGGATTTTGCAATTAATCACTATGGGCAGCCAGACGTAGCAATGTTTGATTTTACTTCCATGTATGCATCTGAAAATGCTGCACTAGTGAGACAGAGACACAGACATCAGCTCCTGGTGGCGCTTGTTGGAGATAGTTTGCTTGAGGTATCTCTTTTTTTTCTCCTCCTTAACCCAGCCGTTCAATCTACCCTCCAAAGCAAACTGGACTCGATTACATGTACCTTCTTTGGAACAGGTTTTTTTTTCCTTTTTGTTTTTTTTAATGCCATAGTTATGTCAGAACTAATGCTTGGCTCGCAGTCTGAGGCTTAGATCCTGTTTTGCTTTGTGCAAGTTGTATTTCTGTCTGAAAACTGTGAGCTGTGCGTCCTCAGCTTGGGCGCATGGCATAATTTTCCTGACTTCCATCACAGAGAAGACTTGGTCCAAATTTTAATTGCAGTCTCTTTGCGTTAGTGTGTTCTCCTTTTCTCTTTCTGAAGTGAAGAGTGTATTTTGCAACTAATTTTATTCTTTTTAAACTCATGCTGACAGTCTGAAGTGTTTGAAAAGATCAATCAAAAGCAAAATTAGGAGAGGAGAAGAAAGGCATCTTTTTTCCTTTTTTTTTTCCCCCTAGACAATTCTTGAGTATCGAGGTTTTTTTTCCCCTCAGCCTGTACCTTTTGAGGTTAAGAAATCTGGTTTTAAATACAGAAGCTAAAAAAAGAAAATGCGAGAGCAGTCCTTTTCATTACCTAAGGCATGGAGGAGGGAAATGTCCAAAAACTGCAAGTTGTTGTATTTTAACTCTCTCTGGGCTACTTTTCTGATACAGTATGAAACCCTAGACTCCAAATTCACATTGCAAGTTACTTTTGTAAGAAGACATTAAGAAATACAAGGAATTAAAATGTGATTACTTCTTACAGCCCTTTTGGCCAATGGGTACTGGCTGTGCAAGAGGCTTCTTAGCTGCTTTTGATACTGCATGGATGGTGCGGAGCTGGGCTCAAGGAAAACCCCCGTTAGAAATTCTTGCTGAACGGTGAGTGTTGCTCTGTCGTTCCCAGTGTTTTAAAGAGTTGCAGCATTGGTAGAAGACAGTGGAGTTCAGAATGCCACTAGGAGAAATATTCTTCACTGCAATGGCATTGGGTTGAGATTTTCTATTCATTAGGGTTACTGAACAATTTACAATAGCAGTAGGCCATCGTGTTGTATGCTTCTGCACACTAATACAGAGATCCAGCAATGTGCATAACATGGGTTTAAAGCACTAATTCAAGTCGCTAATGACTAGAATTAAGTGTGATCCTTAAGGAAGTAACCCAAAGATACTCTGATTGTGTCAAAGAACTAACCTTCCAACCATAAATACATCAACAGTCCTGTTGTTGCCATGGTCTAATGGTTCAAGTTGATGACTTTGGTCCTGATGTCAACTGCCCTGCTCTGTTACAGCTGCCCAGGTGTTTCTGGGGCACATACACAATAGAAATAGTCATAGTTGTGGTAATGCAAGTAGAAGCATTACTAAGAACAGTGCTTTGAGAAATTTTAAGATAGAAGCTTGTGGGATGACTCAAACACAGCATAGCCCCAAATGGAAAATCGAACAGCATAATAAAAAGTCTGTGGTGGTTATAGGAATTGCAGAATGACAGGATTTAGTGCTGTTATGTGGTAAAGAAGTTACTCCTTGGGTGGATGTTAAAGCAAAACCAGATGACTGAATGATGTAACCTTTCATTTTACTTTTTTTTTTTTCCTTTTCCTCCCTCCTCTTCTTTTTCTTGCTCACTTCCTGCCTCAGGAAAATATGGGCATAAGTTCTGAGAGTCTGTCTTTTTGTTGTCCTTTTTCTGCCTGGCATCCTTCTGCTGTTCTGCTGAGCAGGGATAAGAAATGGGGTGGATGCATTATGCAGTTAGTGCATAATGCTTGTCCTGGCAGAATCAAAATAAGGTGCAGGTAGCTGCAAAAAATAAATACACTTCATGTATTAAATATTTATTTTAACCAATATCTCCTGCATCTTTTTTTCCCTGCAAGAGAGAGCATTTATCGACTCTTGCCTCAGACTACCCCTGAAAATATTAACAAGAACTTTGACCAGTATACCATTGATCCTGGAACAAGGTACCCAAATTTGAACTCAAGCTGTGTTCGGCCTCACCAGGTTAGTACTTAAAAGCTTGCTTGTGAAATCAGGGCTGCAAATAGTGCATAAACAAAATCTTCAGGATACTCCTTAATTTAGAACCAACTGTTGATAAAGTTTTCTTTCTAGGATAACTCTTGTTTTTCTCTCCAAGCAATTCTCACATTATGCTGCTAATTGCTTTTACTTGTAGGTGAGGCAGTTGTATGTTACCAATGAGTTACAACAATGTCCTCTTGAAAGAGTGAGTTCCATTAGAAGATCAGTGAATCTCTCAAGACACGGTATGTGACATCTCATGTTTCCTGCAGCTTAGTATTTAGAGCATTCTGAGCATACAAAAACTGATCAAAACATTTGCTCTCCACTCTAACTGCAGAGTCAGATACTCGACCTAACAAGCTTTTGACCTGGTGTCAGAAGCAGACAGAAGGGTACCGTAATGTTAACGTCACAGACCTGACTACCTCCTGGAAAAGTGGCCTTGCGCTGTGTGCTATTATCCATCGCTTCAGACCTGACCTCATGTAAGTGGCATCTGTAGATCTTGTTGAGTGTAGGTATGTTAAGCATTTACCGAAGTATAGAGTAAAACCAATGAGAACAACACTGATACTCCACAGTCCCCTTCTATTTCTGATCTTTGCAAGGAGATTCATGCCGCTGCCAGGTTAGGGGATGGAGAGGGTGGGGTAGTTCTTGCTTTGTTTTTTCTGTATGCCTTTATACACCATTTAAAATGAAGTATATATGCTTTCAAAGAGCTAGGAAGGCTTTGAACCTTACGATTTATGATCATGTTTGTCACATGGCTATTTAAAACAAAAATCGCAGTGCTTGGAGAATGTGAGAGTTGCATTCCCAGGTCCCTGGAGACAGCTTTTTAGGGTATGTGTAAAACTACGACGTCACTGTCATGAGTTACAGAAATAACCTGGGTGAGCCTTAAATGAGCCATCCTCAGTGTGTTGCAGTGGTTGCTGTGACAGTCATGTAGGGAAATGGTGGGCCATGTTGGCACACAGGAGATGGTGGGTTTGCACAACACTTTGTCCAGAAGAGCATGCTTCCCTTGCACGTGGGCTGTGCAACAGGGGCTGGCCCTTGCAAATTAACTGCTTTAGGGATTGAATGTAAGCCAGCATTCCCCTTTTGACAGTGTTTCTGGGGTCCTAATCCTATAATACATACATTCTTATGTATGAATATTTTGTAAGGTTCCTCGGTTAGATACCATGGGGTCAGTGTTTAATAGGTGTCAGGAAATGGTAATTGCTGGCGCTGTGTTATTGGGCCTGCCTCCTGCAGTCTTTGGTGGGGTGACTCTTCTGTCCTCTTGCCAGTCTCCAAAATGCAGTGGATGCATTCTCTTGTCTACCTACACAAACTTAGGAGTCACAAATGAATTACTGTCAGCCTCGCTTTATTGGGATAAATGAAAGATATGATTGAGCTCTTTTATGAGGTGTGGTAAGTTGGAAAAAACAGGAATGATATCAAGGGTGCTTGTTTGTACAGCTTTGCCAGAGGAAGAGCTAGGATTTTAAGAAAAAGATTTTTTGGGTTTGGTTTGTTTTCTCCCTTGAATTAGTTTAAAAAAAAAAAGAAAAATTATTTATGGATGGTTTTGTGGAGAGGAGAGTGTAGAAAGCAAAGTAATCTCTTCTGTCTGTGGAAAGCATGTCTCTTAAGCCCTGCTCTCTCGAGAAAGTTGATAGATTTCCTGAGCTAATGGACCTCCTGCTGTTTAATTAACATTGTGTTCGGATATTGTTGACTTTTTTACCAAGTGGGACTGCTGAAGGACTTGGCCAGATGAAAGCTGGGCAGGCAGGAGAGGCACCTGCCTGTGGGCTGCAGGCAGGGCTGGGGTGGAGGGCTGCCTGCAGCCCCCTGGCTCCAGGAATAGGCAGTTTGTGTGGGGAGAGAGAGAAGTTCTTTGGGGATTCAAAACCTCGCATTCCTTAGGAGGAGAAAGAAACTACCCTGCCCAGAGCTTTGTAATTTATTCACATGTTTATTTTAATCATGAATTTTGGAAGCTGTTCAAGAGGTCAGAGTCTTAGAATAGGTCCCATAGAAAATGGATTAGAGAATGGATAACGCAGTTCCAGATGTGTGGTGTACTTATTTAGTGTGCTGCTAAATTCAGTTATGACATGGACAGGAGGTCCTCAGTTGAACTGTGTGTGGAACACCTTAAAAAGAAAGGTAGTGCCCGTGCATATGTGTGTGTACACACGTAACGTGTTTGTTTCATAAAACACTAGCCTAAATTTACTACTCTTGACTTTGATGATTTACAGAACTAATCAAAACTAAAAAGTCAATGCTAGCAGGTGAACTCTGTAGTAGTACAGCTGTACTTGGAGAAGAAAAAGGTTTCTTAGCACTTCTGAGGAGGAATTGCATTTCTTCATACATAAAATAATCCTTTTTCACGGGACTACATCAAAATCCATTTCAGTGAAATAGCTTCTAAATTACGTTTTTGGAAAGCCAGGATTTGTAATAACAGGATTTCTTACCTTTGGCATTGTGTAGACTCTGTTGCTTTGACCCCCTGAAATGCCTGTGTGCTCATTCATGGTGCTGTTCTGCACCTCTCCAATGGACGAGGCAGCAGTGCATGTTTCTGTAGGAAATCCGAGAGGAACCTGCCACTAATACCAGTGTGTTGCCCCACAGTGACTTTGATGCTCTGAACGAAGAGGACGTTGTCAAAAACAACCAGCTGGCATTCGATGTTGCTGAGCAGGAGTTTGGGATCCCCCCTGTGACCACGGGCAAGGAGGTGGGGTCAGCTGGGGAGCCTGACAAGCTCAGCATGGTCATGTACCTCTCCAAGTTCTATGAACTGTTCAGGGGCACACCTCTACGGGCAGTAGGTAAGCCAAACCCAGGCTGCTCCTAATTCTTGCAAGTTTAGGGAGCGGAAGCACTTCATCCAGGCTGCTTATGAGCACTGCTCTTGAGCCAAGAGTCCTTTCCCAGCTGAGCTGTTTTGGCACGCAAGAGTGCCTGCTTCTGTCTACAATAGTTACCTTGTGCTTTAAAAAGGAAAGGGGGGGCGGGGAGGGGAAACTTGATTGAAGACCAAGGTTTTGTGAGTCCTTGGTGGTTTCAGAAAACAGGAGCAGCTGGATAACTGCTGCTCAACATCATGAAGTTCATGTGTCAGGTCGTTAGAGTGATTCTCTGGTAAGGATGACTGCATACAGCATGTCCGTTCCTGGGTGTTTCTCTTCCTTTTTTAGGAAGTCGCCCTATATTGTATGTTTTTATTTTATTGGCTTTGGTTTCTTGTATATAATTGCTAGCAGCACTCCAGTGGAAAATTCTGGCTTAGACAAAGTATTTAAATCTGAGTAAATATCCTAAGCAGTTGTTTTTTGAACAGACGCTGGTGACAAGCAAAATGGAGAACATAATGACCTTTGTTCAGCAAAACCATCCAACTTCATCTTTAATAATTATATCAATTTAACGTTTCCAAGAAAACGAGTACCGAAGGTAAGTCATAAAGGAAGAATTGCCCTATGAACCTTTCTCTGTTAAGAAGATGAAAATAAACTGCCAGGCTTAGAAATAAGGGGTTTATATGTATCCTGGACCTGTAGAAAGAGATTTTTGAGCACATTAAAGAAGTAAAATAAGATTTCACGGTAAACAAAGCTAACACACACATGCATACTCAATTCTTACGATGTTTGTAAGGATAAAACTGAAGCATTTGTCAGTGTCAAATTGCTGAAGCATTAATAATAGTCGCAGTTAAGCGTTCTCTGTAAATGCAAGATTTCAAATCACAGTGAGAATTTGGGTGTACTTGGGGAGAATTCATAACTATTATCCATGAAAATCTTCTTCAGTGAAGGTAAAAATAAGAGGAGAAGGATGTTTTATTTGGTGTGTTTATAAGTTAACATTTTCAACTTGAAATATTTGAGATCTTGGCTCTGTTATGCATATTGGTTTTTATGTTTTATTTTTGGAAAATTGATTTTCAAAGTATGTTTCTAGGAGATTTTGTGCAATGCTAGATGCTAAGGATTTTTTTATTTTGGGGGGCTTTGGGTTTGAGTTTTTGGGTTTTTGAGACAAGAAAGCTGGAATTTTTCTGTGTTATTCCTACCTTTAAGAAAAATACTACTGTAGTTCTGTATTCCTAGAGTTAAATCTGCAGCCATAATATTCTCTATCAGTTCAAATAATCAGTGGTATCCTAGAAGGCTTATTGATTGGGAGTCAGTGCTGTTTTTTCACAAAGGTGTGTTTTGAACAGCTGTGGATGCTGTCATGGTTCTGGAGGGAAGCTTTCAAACCCTTTTAGATGTATAAAGCCTGCAACGGTAACAAACAGTGGGCAGGCTGACTAGCATGACTCTGAGATGATGCTTTCTTACTCATATCCATATATTCTTCTCTTGGTTGCTTATTAGTGAAAACTTTTTATGTCCCTTTATAAAACATATCCATGCCTATACATGTTGTGATTCAAGACTCTAGGGCCTTGAAAGGTAATGAAGACCTGAGTTAATACTGTGTGGCATAGGACTGTGCAGTAAGAGTATTGTGTTTCTGAATGGATTAAAACTTCAAAAGTTTTCTATGATTTAATTTATAAGTTACTCTAATGAAATTATTCAGTAATAAACTGTTTCACCTCCTGCCTATTCATTAACCTGGTCCTCTTCTGAAGGGAGACCTTGAGGAGGGGCTGTGCTTTCACAGCCAAGCCTACCTTCGTTTTAATTCAATTTACATGGGGAGTGTCTGCAGAGCCTGGCTCAGAGGCAGCAGTGTCTCCAGTCCAACCGCTGCAGATTAACCAGCACAAGTTGGACAGCAGCATGTACTCCACCAAAATCAACTTCTGTATTTTCTGAAACAAAGCTTAATGCAAAACTGTTCCAGGCTTTGAGTTTCCTGGGCTAGCCAGAAACTCTGTATTTACTGCTGTAATTCTCCAGCCCTTTCTTTGTTGTTTGGTTTTTTCTTTCTTTTCTTCTTTTAAACAGACCTCCTTCATGCTTAACTGTATTGCTTCATTTACACCTATGCAGAGACTCTTAAGTTTTGCCTTCAAAAGTACACATTTCCTAATTCTTTTGCAATTCAGCATCCTTCATGAAAGTTCAGGTGTATATGTATGTACTGCATTTCTCAGTATTTTAATGTATTGCTTTTTAAATTTGTTGCTAACTTACCTTCTCAGTTTTCATGTTTGTTTGGGTTTTAGCTGAAGAATTGCTACAGAATTTCCAGCAATTTCCTAGATTGACTTATGTCTCAAATATTTTCTATCTAGAAACATGTTTTTGAAACCTGTGGACAGTCAGTTGCACAGTAACCTCATGTATCCTTGTTAGGAAATAACTTTTCCCTGCCACCCACATACACACAAAACTGAGTGACATGTTTACCAGCTAACCAACCAGTGGGTAATCAAATAGGCAAAATAAACATTGCTTTTTATTATGGGTGACTTCAGAAGAAAAACCTTCATCATGACCACAATGTTGTTGGTTTTCCCTGTGTTATTTGCAGAAGTAAATAGACTTCTGGTAGTGGAGAGAGCTTTCCATTACTAAGCTGTGCAGCCCTCTGCCTAACCTCCCGTCATGAAATAAGCCTTCTGTCATAACAGGAGGTATAGTTCTTGGCACTGCATGAAAGCATGAGGTTATTTGCTTGACGGGCCCCTCTGGTTTCACACTGCAGGGGCTTATTTGAAATGAGAAGTGAAGGCAGTGTTTTCCAAATCAGCTTGGGGAGTGGGAATGTGAAGCCCTTATTTTGTATAGGGCTTTGCAGCCCTGTCATGGCTGGGGTGTGAAACTAAGCAAGGAACACAGTACTCGGGTTAGAACAGAGACTTGTGAGTGCCAGAACCATCTGAAACTAGTTGGGAAATGCAGCTCCTTGGAAAGCAACTGCTTGAGTTAAGAGCAGAACCATCTGAAACTAGTTGGGACATGAAGCTCCTTGGAAAGCAACTGCTTGAGTTAAGAGTTTGGCTTCAGATTTATGTCTCTTCCCTCTGCAAAAAGTGCCGCTGAGCATTATCCAGGTATTACTGTAGGAGAGCACTCTCATATCACAGAGTCAGAAACCAGCCAGGATAACAGTGTTGCTTACAAAACTTTCCATACCATCTAGTTTGTCCTTTTATTTGGCTGGAAGAGGGATCCTTATCTGGGTGCAGGTTGTGAGAGACCGGGAAATATGGTCCTGGAGCTGGTGTGGCTATGGCTGCTCTAGCAGGGTGTGCTGGGCTGGATAATGTTTTCCATTCTCCTGCAGAGTGTCGGCAGGGCTGGAGAGGAACTGAGATTTCCTGTGCTCCAGACTAATAAATTAATGGAGATGTTTACACAATAAAGGGCACAGTCCTTTTTCTTGCAGTTTTGCTAGGCAATTAAATTGCTTTGTCTTTCATTTCTTTGTAAAATATGTTAATTAAAGTCCTTTGTGTAAGATTTTTGAAAGGCATCATCTTGTTTGCTCCATTCACTTAGGCAAATTCTGCTTTTATGTGGTACAGATTATTATGCAGACTACATTGTGTTATTATGTTGTTCAATCTTCCTTGGTAGACTACCTGCTATAGGTAGTGTAAAGCTAGGTTACTGAGAGCTGGTGCTTGAAAGACAATGTACCAAAGCAATCAAAATACTGTCATCTGATTCTTTTGGTGTTTGCCCAGAAGTTGTTTGGGATTACTTCTATTCACTGCATAATGATTTATTACAAACACTGTATATATAAAAAGGAAGCCTGAATTCTTTGATCTCTCTTTATTCTTTTTTCTTTTTTTTTTTAATTGGCTGAGCAATCACTAAGTTACAGCATGGGCAAATGCAAATAAGTGGAATGTAGTTTATTGTTCATAAAGTATAACCCAACACGACATCTATCAGACCAAAACCAAAATCCCCATTGTACCAAATCTTCAAGACTGGAATTAATAAGTACTGTTACAAATTTTTAAACATTGACTATTTTGCAAGTTCATCCAGACTGAGTATGAAGTACTATTTATTATTTATTGTGTAATCACTGATTCAGTAAAGTAATTAAACATGTGCATAGCTTGAGCACAAAACAGGCTATTTGGTTGCTTAAGGATTGTAATGTAAAGCCATAGTCAGGGAGATGAACCTTACAAGGGAGACAGACTTTAAGGCAGACAATAATTGCTTCCCAAAAAGAGAGATGTCTGCACTATGACCACATGATCTGCGTGCAGATACCTGATTGAAAGATGTGAAAGAGTGAGGGGTTTCTGGATTTTGCTACTCACCTGGATATCAGTGTAGTCTAGACTAAAATTCACAGAATAAGTGATGCTGTAATGCTTTTTCCTTCAAGGATGTGTCAGTGCTTTATGAATCATAAACTCTTCAGCACTGAAAGAGGAAAAGACAAGGACCAGCAATGTAGGGCCTGTGTCCAACAGAGTATACAAGCATGTGTTTTCACCCAGCAGAGTCCAGTGAGAGTTCCCAGTCAGGGGTTACAGGGTAGCTTTGACATATGTGATCACTGCCATGAGGGCCACCAGCCTCCTCATGTGAGGGTCTAAGGCAGCACACCAGTGCCGTGAGGACCCCCGCATGCTGGCACTGCTCACCTGGGTTTGCCTTGTTGAACACAGGCTAGACCACACTGCCTGGTTATGAAAGTTAATATCCTGGGAGGAACTGGGTGGGTAAATCTGGAAACTGCTGCAGTAATCCATAAACTTGTTTTGGCTTTACCATTTCAGGTTGAAGGGAAAACAGAAGAACATGAGTCTAATAAAAGACGTCGAAAAGGTCTTTTTGGTGTCTTCGAGGAGGTTGGTGTCCAGTAGTGTTCAGCCAGCTCCTTGATGAGCATCAGAGCTGAGGAAGCAGTGGGGGTTGGGGGGCTGGTGCTTGGCCTCTTTTGTGCTTAGCAGGAAAAAAAAAGCCAGCCTCTCTCCTTGAAACCTGGAATTTACCGTGACTCAAACCATCGTGCACTAAAGAAGAGTTGAATTTATTTAAATCATTTGTGAGGGAGGAGGGCATTACCTAAATTGCACTAGTTTTCTTTCCAACCCAAGAATGATTAGGGTATTGGCGACTGTTTTATCATTAGCACCAATTAATGTTCCTTTCTACTGTACTCTGGGACGAAAGAGAATGGTGGGGTTTTTTTGGTGACTTCCACATGCTAAACAGTGTCATCTTTAAAATATTATATAGATGTATTTCCTTTCACACTTTGCTGAGAAGGATGCTACATCTCTCTTTTTCTCTCTCCATGAGCGTTGTAGGTAAACTCGGGAAAAACACAGTTTGTGTTTCCTTGCAGGCTTCAGGCTTTTCAAGACAAGGGACAGATGGGAAAGAACAGAGTGATGGCAGAGAAGGAACAAACCAGAATAAAGTTAAATCAATGGCAACTCAACTGCTGGCAAAGTTTGAAGAGAATGCTCCAAATACAATTTGTCGGAGGCAGGTACGTCATAGATGAATGTAAAAGTAACCTCTGAAATTAAACTGTAGTCACTCCTTGTGAACGTGAAGCTATATACTTTATGCAAATTAAAGGTATTCCTTTCAATACTTAACAAACAAATCTGACAAACATAGATTGACTAATTCATATTAACATAATAATATATGTTTTAATAACAAAGTGTAGTGGAATTGCAGTGTCTAGAAATCTCTTGTAAATGAGTCTGTAGAATTTTTGCTTTGTGTGGAAGTCACAGCTGACTGCATATGGTATTGCAGAAGGACTTACATTTTCCCTATATTCTATGACTAAAGGACACTACACATCCAGTGGAATCTTTCTTTGTGGACAATTTAGAAAGCACAGAAGGGAATCTAATCTTTTGTAAGATGTGTCTGGCTGCCATTTCCATTTGTAAAGTAGACATAATGGAATATATTTGTACATCCAATGGCATTTTCATGGCTTAAAAGTAATCCCACGCTGTCAAGGTAGGGATCATTAAGCTCAAAGTCGCGCTTTACTTAGTGAGGTGGTTTGAGTCAGCTTGAGTTTGGATCGGTCACACAAAATATTTGAAGGAAGGATGAACAAGGTGTTGAGGTTCCACAAAGGGAAGTGGTTTTCTAAATTCTTTGTGCTTGTATCTGTTTTTTTCTTTTACATATTTAAGTCCTCCAGAAGTACAGGCTTTATAGATGTCAAGTGACTTCCACAGTGTGTGAACTGCTGTTGTTTGCCCTCCACCTGGCTACTTGTCAATGGCCTGAGCATTCTGCATGCAGTATGTGTGCAGAGGTTTGCTTGGCCATGTTGAAGGAGGCCTTGATGCTTTTTTTACCTTTTGATCATAAGCTTTCTTAAAGAATATTTGATGCACTGAATTTTAAGTATATCTTTGGTGGTAGAAGGGGTTAATAAAATGGGTCAGTGACAAAAATCTACAAAGCATGTTATTCAGCTCCATAGTAATGTCTCTTTAAAACTAGCTTTTATTTCTTTCTGCCTCAAAAGACCTTTGAATCCTATTTACTGTCTTCCTTTTTTTTTTTTTCCCCTCTCTACTCTGTCATTATGATTTTAAAAACGCTTTACAAGGAGCTAATAGATAGACCAGCCCTGCTCTCTTCTGACCCTCCTGTTAATCCTCGCTTTGCTAAGCCTAAGGATTCAAGTCTTCTTCCTCCTCAACCAAAAAGGCAGGTAGGAACTCATTGCGGTAAAAAAACAATCCTAAAAACACAGGTGTTGATTTCTGCATTGTCACATCTAGAATCCAAACTGTATAAATATAATTGCATAGCTACATTTAGCCTGTAAGAAAACTACAGCAGTATCTGAAGATTTGTCTGTGCAGGTACTCAATGTTTTGGGCTATTGTAAAGATAAGGCAAAGGGAGTTTTCCATCCCAAGAAACCTGGCAAAAATATCTGAGATAAAAGTCTGAGCACTGAAAAGCTGATACTGATGCTCAGAGTTTTTTATTTCTTTAAGTACAACTTGTGATAAGAATTTCTGCCGAAAGCTCTTTTGCAGCATCATATACATGGGGGAACATTTTTGAATACGTTGTCTGAATTTTTCTCTTAATACTTCCAATGAAAGCAGTCTTATATCAAATAGTAATGACATTCACTTTACAATAGAATTTTAAAGGGAAGCAAATACTGTATAGGGGTATTGCAAGAGTAGTCTGCAGTGAAATGGGATCTGCATTGCATGTGGAAATCTGCAGATGAGCTTGATGAAAAATGCAGATTCATAAATCAGTTGAGAATTGCTGTTTCAAAGGCAGGTCTGCTATTCTGAGGCATCAGAAGCACACTGCAAGCTGACTGGCATTAGGTTTTTAAATTTTAATTCTGAGAAATCTGGAAAGTTTATGTATTTAATTGAATTGGACAGATAGGATGAAGTAGAAAACTGTCATGAAAAGGAAGGTAAAACTGAATTTGATAAAGCTGAACTAGTTCAAATGTGTTATTTACTTCAAAAGCTATTCTATATGAAGATTCAAATTCAGAGACCTATTCTGAACTCCTCAATGAACTCCTTAAAATTATTTAAATCGTAAATACATTATAGCTTGACTCGGGTTAGACTAGATCTAAAATTATGCCAAGAACTACTGTTGATACTCTTACAAGTTGATTGTTAAGTTTAGTTTCAGGCAGATGTAATGCTTAAAAAAAAAAAAACAAACAACCCAAAAAAAACCCCCAAACCAAAACCCTTGCTGAAAACCCCAGAAGGAGACATAGTGTCGAGGTCTTCTGCACTGATGCTAACTGGGGTTATTCGTAAAAACTGGCGCAAACCTAGAAAAGGATGTCAAGACCTGTGTAAGTTGTGCAGGACTGATTTATTTCAGTGCATGGATGCAAACATCAGAGTTGCAGTAGATAGTATGCAAAGAGTGATGTGAGAACGTTTTATTTCTAGTTATGTGCATGACTGTGCTGCGCTTTCGGAAGCATCCTTAAAAGCTGCATATACTGCATGGTAGTGCAGAAAGCAGATTTTTTTCACTTCAAGTGTTTCCCAGTTTCAGGTGGTAGCTAGGAGTGAACACGAGGTCAGGGAACCCAAACAGTCTTTAAATGGTTCTGATCATATGGCCAGGAGAGCAAAGACTGTACAAAAAACAGATACCCAGCCCAGTCTGTCAGAAACCTCTGAAAGTCTCGCATCTGCCTGTTCTGCTGCGTTTGTACTTTCTGGAGTGCTTGAGCGCCTTCAGCACCTGGAGGAAAAAATGAAACAGGTGACAAGCAATTTCTTTTCCTTTCTCTCTCTTGCCTGCATATGTTAATCTGTATACTGTATTGCCCCTAGATGTGCTGGCTTTTTCTCTGTTGACTATAGGTTATATTAAGACGATAAAAAGTCTTTACACAAACTTGATATATTCTTACGATGTATGTGACATTAACAGAACTTTCTTTCTCTCTCTCTCTCTTTCTCTCTTTTTTTCTTGGCATTCCTTCCCTGGCTCTTATTGCAGAAAAGAGCTCAGACTATAGCAAATAGGGAATTCCATAAAAAGAACATTAAAGAGAAAGCAGCACATCTTGCCTCAATGTTTGGATACATGGAGTTTCCAAAGGTGAATATTAGGTTTTGCACCTGGAAAAGTGCTGAGTTAGAAGACATACAAGAATTCATGGGGGGAAAAATTTCACTAGTTTTGTTTCTAACTTCCCTTTCATCTTGGGTGGATCTGAAAAGTAATGTGGATTCCACTGTAACTGGCAAAAAGCTGTGTATTATTGCATAATTTGGGGCAAAACACAATTTAGATCGTAGATCTGGTCAGAGTACTTTAGCGTGAGAGAAATGTTAGAATAAACCATGTCTTGTGCTTAAGTATGCACTGCTAGCTCACTGTTTCTAATGAACTTGTGAGCAGTAGCTCTTAGTGGAATCTGGCATTTCTTACATTTTGTTATGCTTTCTCCCAGTACTATCTTACCTTACTGCCCACTGTAAATATTTTTATAAGAAAACTGAGTACAATAATACAATTTGCCATGAAGGTTTTACCTTGATAATTTCCATGGCTCCTCACTGTGCAGAAACAGAGAAAAAAGCAGAATTGTAGTTATTATCCTCTTATTTTTTTCATGCATGACTGTGAAATTACTCTCTTAACCTGTGCTGATGTCACTGTCTCTTGGATAACTCTCCTATTTCTGCTTTACACAGAATAAACTACCTACTAAAGACTTATCCCATTCTCAGCCCCCAACTCCCTCTTGCCCTCCACCTCATGATTCAGCTGCTGCCTCTTCTCCATCATCTGTCGATTCAGCTTCCCCTGCTGTTCCTTCTAGACAGGTACTCTATTAACAGCTTTTTCCTGTTAAATCCAAACGTGTTGCTAAAGCTGCTTGAGAAATGGCTTGGATGGAAGGTGCTGCCAACAGATCTGTTGTATAGGTTATATTTTACATTGGAATAAAATTTTATTCACTATTGTTAATTCTGCATGTTTGTAGGAGGAAAGTCATTGTTAAAAATAGTTCAGGTATAAAGCTGAAGAACAAAAGCAAATAGCTAATAAAATTTTTACTTTAGTTCTGAAGATTTTGCATTGCTGCTTATCTTACCTGTTCTGTTGTTGGGTAGTACCGCAGACATGCCTAGCAGAGAAAGAGCTTCACATTGTATAGCTAACTGGATGTTATGGGATCAGTTAGATGTTCCCAGGTGGCATTTGTGGGGTTTTTTTGGTAAGAATATCTGTCTGGACTGAAGGGGGGGAACCTGCACAATAATGTTGATTTTAACTAGAGCACATGTCTTGAAATTGTATGAGCACTTTTAGATACAGACCAATTTTATTGCTTTGTTTGTTTACTTGTACTTAAAACTTGTTCCTCCACATTATTTGCTAGAATACAGTTTTTTATATCAGCAAACTGTTACAGAGGAAACACACATACTCTGAATGAAAGTGATCAGAAAACACTTGAATCAGATATTCGGCTCTTACTATTTATGCTGATGTTAGAAGGGGCTGTGCTTTTATCTGTGGAAGTTAGGATGACGCTGGCTTCTAACTCCTTTTGTTTTAGAAGGATTTTAATTGAAGAAAGTTTCTTTTTCAGCTTTTCAGGGCAGGTATAGGCCTGGGTTCCCAGTATTGATATAGGGTGGTTATGGAAATGAAGGTGGAAACATCATTTTTTCTAGGAATATTGAAGGCAATTGCTGTGACTCAGTGCAGGTGCTGCTGGAGCTGGTGGCTCTGCTGCCTGACACATGAAAGAAGTGCTATTCAGCAAAATCGGGTGCTGTCTTCATTTACTGTGAGGAGGAGCAAAGCATTCTGCCTGCTTTTGTTGTATTTAAATAACACTAGTTTTATGAAGTACTCATGAGTATTGCCCAACTTCAGGTAAGCCATGGGTAAAGGTAATTTCCCATCTGGTGGGAAGGATTATTTAGTGGAATGGTCTAGGTATTTTTAGGTTATTTTGCACCGTATTGTTAGTGCTGGTTGGAAATTGGGCTCACAGCCTCAGCAGTAACCAAGCAGCTAGGTACTGAGCTGACTTGCAGTTTGCAAAGCCAAGTCCCTCAACTGAGATGGATCTGTGTTGAAAAGACTCCCTCTCATTCTTCAGGAAAATATAGGCTACGCAGCCCTTCAAGGACACTGCGGGCCCAGCAGGTGCCTTGCTGCAGTAATCCCCTAATTCCCTTCAGCTTCAAAGTAAATCCTTTGCCTGGATTTACCTCTTACTTTCTATGACCTAGGAGGTGCAGCATGTGATGGGTTTTAAGCTAAGTAATGGTTTCCAAAATAGAGGGGCCTGTTGCTCATTTTATTTGGAGAACCATTGTGACACCGCAATGAGAATAAAGAAAAAACCTCAAACTATACGAACAACCCTTTAACATATGAGAACTAAGCTCTTAATCACACGGAAACTCTGTGAGCCATAATTTTACTGGGTTTTAAAGTTTTTTTTCATAGAAAGCATTTGGCCTGAGCAATCATTTTTGGATGTTTTAATTCAACTGCATTTTATTTGAACTGCACTCACAGCCTTTTATTAGTTTGCCATTGTATTTAAATGATGTAGCAATAGTTTGTTACGACTTGTAAACTCAGCCTGACTGAAATCATCAATTGGAAAATGCTATCCATTCTACCAGTGCTCCAGAGGTGATGGCAGAATGCAGCACAGCTGCTGAGGCAAGAAAACCTTGTTCTGTCACCAGTACAGAAAATATACATTCATCTTATTTGGTAAATATTTGGCTGGTTAGGTAGGACTACATGTACTCTTTGGCAGATCTACAGGCGTGAACATCTTGATGCCTAGTACACTGCTCCATAGGGTTGTACAGGCTCAGGTCTTCTTGTACAATGTATGGATACGATACCCCTGAATAGTAAGTAGAAGGGTGCTGCGGGAGGCCTGCAGTCTGCAGCATGGATACCTTTTGGAGCCGGTTATGCCGATGTGCGCTTTACGAAGGTAAAGGGGACCTGCCCTGAGCACAGGGAATGGACTAAATGGTTCTTTGGACCTATGTCTAGGATCCTGACTTGCATTGGTGATGTGCTGTTGAGGCGTTAATGGATGTACAAGACTTCCGTTCTCCATACTGTTTATTCATGTGCTGTGAGGTTGGTTCAGTCCTGTGATACCCATTACTTTAGCTTTACCTCCCTTTGGCAACTTAATTTCTGTTTCTCTTCACGTTACACAAGCTGTGTTTCGGCTTACCTTTAGTTATTTCTCAAGCAAAAATTTTCCAGAAACAGGTTTCTTACTGCTCTTTTTACTGTAAGAGCACCAAATTTTCAGAGAACATCTGCTGAGCCTTGATTTCATAACAAGCAATCTGTCCGTGTCCTTTCATAGAATTCATGGTTAACTTGTTGTCCCTGGGTTTTGTCTTAAGATTGCACACTTTTTGGAACGTGAAAATTTTATCCTACCCTAAAACACTGGCTAAATTTGCAGCACTGTAAAATTGGATCACATTTCAGGTGTGCAGTGCACGTTTTCCAGTGCTAATGGTAATTTAACAGTATGTTTGGTTCTCTGCTCTGAGTATGCGCTGGTGATTGCCCGTGTTTGTGTTATCTTGAGGTTGGGGTTGTAGGACTCAGAAATTTTTCTTTCTGGTCCCTGTTCTGAGAGATACCACGAGGTAAGTCTAGACTTCAGTGTGAAAAAGGGCTTCGGGATTGGTAAGAACAATCTTGTTCAGCAGAACAAGCTCCCTCATGCCGCTCTCAGTGTTTTTGCTTTTTCCCAGCAGAAGAAAAGAAGATAATGGGAGTCTTCTCAGTTCTCTAAGATTTCATGAGAGATGACCTATAAATATCAGTGCCCTCCCATCCTTTAAGTAGTTAGTACTTTCACTTTAATTTCAAGTGAGTATGGAAATTGTTACCAGACATGACGATCCTTTACAACTGTTGAATTTTCATTAGAACAGTGTTAGTTATGATGCCATATTTATTGAAAATGATGGCTAAGAAATCATACTGTCTTATTACAGAAACCTGGTTTTAAGCCTCAGTCCTGAAAGGAGCACTTGAAAGGAAGGCTATGGAAGCATATTGTTTCTTCTGAAGGCATACAGTCATTACAATTTATTAAGAATTAACTTCTACATGAAAGTATATGTAAGTTGGCAGTAACAATCAAAGCTACCTTCTAGCTTTAATCAGCTGTCAAAATTCACATAGGTAGAGTTACGAATGAACAAATGTTATATTACAGGCTGGGCTTTGGTTATTCCTGTCTTCTGTTTAAAGTTGGATTGACCTTCAGAAAGCTATGTTCATCTGAGCTTTGCATGAGCGAATCCACACCATGTGTCATAAGTACTGTGAAGATGTTGCAATCAGCAGTCTTTGCTGCCTGTGGGGTTTGGACCAACTCTTCCCTTCAGTGAGGTGACTAATTAACAGCAGGGCTTGGGTCTTTCCCACACACAGTAACTTATTACTCAAGTTTTATTTATCTCAGAGGTAAAACATATGTAGCAGGTGGTACCAAAAGTAAATAAATAACCCTCAAAGCTGAATAAGACCAGGAAAATCATTAAGGATATGAAACAATGAAGGGGAAGCATTGTATGTTTTTGGAGGCAGAGAGTGTATTTCCTTTGGCTTATGAAAATACTACCAGGCATAGATGTTGGTTGGCTGTGATGTTACAAACAATAACACAGGGAAACACAGAAAGCAACTTTCCCTTCCCACATTAATAAGCACTCTGATCAACCTGCTGAAAAGCTTTGGTAATGTGCCATTGACAGGTCAGCAGTCAGCAAATCACACACACTTGGTGGATTTTTAAGTGTTTCCTTGGTTTTTTTTCTGAAATTTACTGTATAAGGTAACTGTAAGATTGCTTTCCAGCAAAGGGTTTAAAGCTAATGGTAGAAACCTGCTTGAGTTGTGAGCAGTAACCTGCTGTTTATTGATAGTGGCTCCAGTACTACAGGATTGCAGGCATGTGTGGGACTTCACGTACACCAGTAGCCTCAAGGGTAGTAAGTGCATGAGCAAAATATAAAACCTATTACACGTATAGTGAGTTTCTAGGGTACATAAGCAGCACCAGGCAGGCAGAGATCTGTGTGCTGTCAACCAAAGCTAAGCCGTGTAAGAGCTGACAGGTTACGAATGTGTGTAGATTTTGAGGTCAGACCCTCTCTGCTGCAACTGGAGTTTATTACACTTACATGATTACATGGGTGAGGATGTTACTGAAGTCCTTGTCCATAACCAGGGTGAATTTTAGAGAAGACAAGGTTGCTCAGTGGTTGTGCTCTTCTCATACTAGGGCAGAAGTCACTAGCCTTGTGGGCTAGACCCCATCCCTCCCATTCTCTGCAGGTTTCTTATGGTGGCAAGTGCTCATGAGATGGCCTGGTGGCTTCTCATCCTGCCTTGATGTTTCTGTTTTGTGATTGAATGGCTTTTGAATAGAACACAATAGAATATTTTGGTTGTAAGGAATGTACCATGAGCATCTAGTCCAACTGCCTAACCAGCTCTCTAGGAAGCCTGTTCCAGTGTTTGACCACTGTCTTGGTAAAGAAATGCTTCCGAACGTCCAGTCTGAACCTCCCCTGATGCAGCTTTGAAACATTCCTGTGCATCCTGTCACTGGATACTGGGAGAAGAGATCGGCGTGTCCCTCTCCACTTACCCTCCTCAGAAAGCTGTAGGAAGCGATGAGGTCACCCCTTAGCCTCTTTCTTTCCAAACTAGACAAGCCCACAGTCCTTAGCTGCTCCTTACAGGACATGCCTTCCAGTGCTTCCACCAGCTTTGTTGACCTCCTCTGGACACATTCAGGGACCTTCACATCCTTTTCTAATTGTGGGGCCCGGGGCTGCACACAGTACTCAAGGTGAGGCTGCACCAATGCTGAATACAGTGGGATAGTCCCCTCTTTTGAACTGGTGCTGGTGCTGTGTTCAGTGTGCTCCAGGATGGGGCTTACCCTCTTCGCTGCCACGGCACACTGCTGACTCGTATTGAGCCTGCTGCCAACCAGCGATCCCTGATCCCTTTCTTCAGGGCTGCTCTCCAGCCATCCCTCTCCCAGTTTACATTTGCACCTGGCGTTACTCCATCCTGAGAGTGGAACTCAGCATTTGGACTTAGTAAATTTTATCCCCTTAATCACTGCCCAATCTATCTAAGCCCCTCTGCACATCACCTGGATGGTGTGGGGCCGAGGCCGTAGAAAATCAGTCTCCTCTTGACTACCCACATACCTGATTCAGTAAGGAGAATCAGGAGAGATCTTTCCACAGTAATGTGTCCTTATTAAAGAGTTCGTATAAAGTGAGGGCTAATCAGTCCTCAAGTCCACTTGCTTCCTGCCCTTCCCTCTGGTGAGTAGCAACAACGTTTGTGTTGGTGGTGATTGCAGGAGACCAGAGTAGTCGGCAATCTTTTGGTTACTAGATTAGGTTGAAATCCCACTTGCTTTTACATGGGATGTGAATTCACATTCACTACAATAACATTTCCTTTTAATAACAGTTTTTTAAGCATGTACAAACGTGCAATTTTCTTGTTTTGACTGCTTTAATGTTGAGGTAGATGGCTCCAACGGGTGGAGAACAGAAATCAACCAACCTGATAAATTTCAAGGTGTAGTTCAGGCTCAAGGATACTTTTCCTGAAATTCAGCTACTTGCACTCTAGGCACAGCCTTATTGTTCAACTGATTGCTCCAGCATTTAACTAGTTCAAGGTAAACTTTCTGCTTCAGCTGACTTCAGAAGCTTTCTTTTGCCTGGGAGCTCCTAGGTAATAAGCTGTATGTGGCCTAAAAGTCACTCAGCATATTCTGAGGGGCAGAATTTGGGGAGGCAAATTTTGCCTTCTGTGATCTTAAACAATACAAAGGAACATAGTTTTCCTGTAGTAGCAAGTAGCACTTCTTGGCTAGTAATCTAGTGTGCCACTTGGGACAGCATTGTGGTATGTAATTCACAGTTTACTTTGCTGTTGTTACCTTGCAAGTTCTGCAGATATTGAAGAATATTTAAAAGTCTTTTTACAAAAAACAAAACCAACAGGACAGAAATTTGTTCCTCGAATGGCCTTTGTTGTCTTAACATGCATATGTTGTACCTACTTGGATATTAAGTTAATTATGGGATAACTCTCAAAAGATAAGGGAAGCTGTAAGGAGACGGACATACTCCCTTGGATAGTTTTTTATTAGCAAGAATATTTGTATCTGTCATAATTTTTGAAAACATGCCCACAATGCATCATAATTCTTTTTAAACTTGACAGGAAATATTTTAAAATTATTTTAAAGTATCACAAATACCACTGCATTTGTATTTTTCTCCTTTCTTCATGGTAGCTTTCTGATATTTTAAAACCTTTCCATTAGCGAGACTTGGTGTAGTGGCAGTAGAAATCACTTGTATCACTGACGAGTGTGAGACTTTAAAATTTGGGCTCTTTGGGAGGCAAATGCTGCACAATATACAAGACAGTGGATCCTCTAGGAAATAAAAGAAAATGTCGTGACTTGAGAAGCAGAGTTCCAGATCCCTGGCCTTACCAGAACTGCTCTTGCTGCCTTTGCTACCAGAAATGTTGTGGGATCGTATGTTGACTGTAAAACTAAAATCAAAGTCACTACAGCAAATTTGGTTTAGGGTGGAAAATATTTCTGTAGCTCTATGAAGTCTTCACGGTCTTTTTTTCCAGGAACAGAGAACTAGAGTACCTACCTGCCTGCCTGTCACACGCACCCCCCCACACCCCTTTCTACTTTTCCACTCCCCAGACATGTGTTTTGGCGAGGAAGCCTGGACCATGCAGTCAGTGGTCTGGTTGTGGTGCATTTGGAGCCGCAGCCTCAAGAACTGCAGTCTCCTCGCAGGCCTGTCTATTTGATAAATTTGGTTAGAAATAGCCTAACATTTGTGGCTGCTATAGTGTGATGAAGCAGATTAAAGGAGATGTCTTCCTTTCATGAACGTGGTTTCTCCAGTTTTCCCTGGCATTGAGTCAATGGGGAAGAGGGAGAATGGCTGCTTTGTGAGCATAAACAAAATGTTTGTGTGGGGGATTTCTACTACATTTTCATAGAATGTTTCCTGAAATGCCATGGTTTGTAGTCTGGTGATGTGAAGTTTAGTCCCCATTCCTGTTAAGAAATACAACAGCAAGGTTCCAAGAAGTCAAAGTGAACAGGGTTTGGTTTTTTCCATCTATTAGAACAGTCCAACCCTGATAGCCAGGCAGTAGCTCCCAGCTCAGCCTTTCACAAGCACGGTGGGAGGACTTGTGCTGTGGGAGTGTTTGCTCCCAGCAGCTGTTTCTCCATCATTTCCAGGGAGAAGGGTGTGGGCTGCATAGAAGCCTTCTGTGGCCACCAGCTGGACCATGCTCACAACAAATGAACATGCTTCTGCTCTGCTAGACTTTGGCTCTGCCCTTTCTCCTAGCCTCTCTTTATCGTTGTTTGCATGTTTTCAAATCATTCTTGTCCTTTTCTTGTTCAATTCTTTCTCAAGACAAACTAAAGCTCTTCCTTCTATTCTTCATCTTCTCCCTTTTCTGGTTAGATGACCGTAGGAAAGGTCTCATGTGCAATTGGAGCTGTGGCTGAAGTTCTTGTCAATCTGTATGTGAATGATCACAGACCCAAGCCACAGCTTAACCCCCTTGAACTGGTAAGGCCAAACCCATAAAGAAACAATAACTTGATTTAGAAGAGTGATGTTTCCAGAACTAACATCTTAACTTAAGATTCTGGCTGTGGAGCACTTCAAGCATTATGAAAGGCCTTAGTCTAACATTTATTAAGGAATCAAGTGCATGCTGGCAAAATATGTGGATGCGTGGATGTGCTGGAAATGTTGCTCACCATGTCTTCTTTTTATATTTTTATTACTTGTCTGTATGAATTAAAACTTCAGAAGGCTTTTATTAAACATAATTACTGGTATAATTAGTAACAGAAGACAATTATTAATCAGGGTGGCTTCTAAAGAAAGTTTTGTTACAGTATATGTTTATGCAGTTATTTTTAACACAAAAGCTGAATCACTGTGCCTCATTTTGGAGAGCTGTTTTTAAACTCTGACACTGTTCTGTGTTGAATTCAGAAGCAGTCTCTGGACAGAGCCACAGGTTCTTGCCCCATTCCTCATTCTCCATCTTCTGCCTCTACTGCTCAGAGCTGTCAGGTATTGGCAAGTGAAGTAAGGTGTTGTTTTGTGGTGATGACACTTACCTATTAGCCAGCACAAACTCAGTTGCTTCCACTTTATTGTAACTATCTGTTCTATTAACATTGTATCTTTAAAAACACATATATATGGGTTTATTTTCCCATTTGCATGGTTATTCATTTGGAAAGTTTCATGCTCTGAAATGATCCATCACAGCAAAATGGATTACTGATGGCAGATTTGGAATAAGGTCCTTAACTTCTAAGCACAAGACTGTGACAATAACAATTGTGACTTGAACTTAACATTCTGCAGTCGTTCCAAGGCTGCCTTTTGCTGGCAAATTAAAGACAAATTGTGTGGAGTGTCTGCTGCTGTCTGAATGTGCCTGGACACTGCCAAGCCTATACCTCTGTCCCAAGCACAGACCCTCTCCTGTGGCAGTGGGGATGGTGGAAGGGGAGGGAGATGGTGATGGCTGTGGTAGAGACAGGATGCTCATCTGTACTGACTTATAACTAATACAAAGTAACATCTTCAGACCTACCTCTAATAAGAAAAGGGAAGCCCAGTGGCATCTAATCCATTTTAATTTATTTTTCTATACCTTTTGCATGTATATGCAGAGAGGATGAGATTTGTGGCAATTAAAGGCTGATGATTGCCAGCCCAAATTCAACAAAAATTTTCACAATAGTTTCAAGTGGTAAATATGGATCATATTTTAAAGTCCAACGAGTTAAAAATATTCTGCATGTCTGTGGAAGGAGTAAAACTGAATTTTTTTAAATAAACCAAACCCCAGCTTGGGCTGTAGTCTTGGGAGGAACATGGCTGAGAGGGGAGGCATGTCTGCAGTGATGAAAACAGTTCAGATGCCAGCATTGAAGACTGTCAGGTTTTCTTCCTGAACCATAAAACACAAGCCTACATTTCCCTCCAGAGTTTGTATAAGCAAATGTGTATTTAAAGCTTCAGGATGTCTGTTTTCGTAGCTCTAACTGCATGTCTGTTATTCGAGGCTGGCGAGGTCTGCCTTTGCCCTCTTCGGAGAAGCACTGATGCCCTCAGAACGTGAGAAGCAAGTGCCTGAGCCAGCATGGTGCAGGGTGTTCAAGGAATATCTGGGGCTGATGCTGCTCTTGTACCTGAGTAAACACAAGATGTCAGGGAACTCCCAGAGGGAAGCTGGATGCAAGTCTAGCTGAAACCCACCCTGTAAAGTCCTTATGATGTCTGATTTATGACTTGCAGTGTAAACCTACAGAATTGTAGCAAATGAGTAATAAAAAAGCTGATGGCTTATTTTAATGGTGTGTGGAGGGTGCTCTGTAAAACTTCAAGCAGATAAAGAAGCTGCCCACTTAAGAATTTATATCTGGCTGTAGTGCAAGAGCTTTATGTGCATTTCTATTTTTATCATTTAACAGGCATCTCTGCGCAAAGAATTCCCTCAGTCTGTTGGGGGGAGTGACATTTGTTACTTCTGCAAAAAACGGGTGTATGTGATGGAGCGGCTGAGTGCAGAAGGCCACTTCTTTCATAGGGAGTGCTTCAAGTGTGACATATGTTCTACAACGCTCCGGTTAGGAATTTATGCCTTTGATGTTGACGAAGGTAATATAGGAACTATGTAAGAATATTTTAAATATTGAATGTTTAAGTATTGCTGTTTGTAAGGGAACCAGGGAAAAAGACCTGGCCAAGTAGTTTGGTCAGGAGGAGGTCTGCCAAGTGTGTTGTTTGTGTCCATACTGATCTTTGAGTCCTTGTACTTGCAGCTCTAGTCTTTCAAAATAATCCAGTTCTGACAGACCTGAGCTTTAAATGAAGAAATCCTCAGTGGAAAATAAATTGAGTGATCAAAATGCAATTTGCCCTATTACAGGTCAAAGTGTGCGGGGAAATGTGATTTTTTTATTATTTTTTTTTCTTCAACAGTAAAGAATTATTCTCATCTCTCATTTATAACTGGCCATGAAATAACATGATCTACAAGAAGAAATGATAGTGTCAGATTTACGTGGATGAGGGGAATATAGGTTATATCTTTCAAGATGTTATGGCTCAGGAATTGAAAGCAGTAGTACTGGCTAATTACACAGTGGTGTAATTTATTCCAGTCTGCTGTAGAACAGGAGATTAAGATTTTGGGTGGGCACTTAATCCCACCTACATCTTGGGGTTTGGAGATTGGGAATTATTCTTCCCTACCCCTCCCACCCTCCACCCCCCCCCTTTTGTTTGTTTGGTTGGTTGGTTGGTTTTGGGGTGGTGGTGTTGGTTTAGGGTTTTTTTTGCTGAGGTTGTTTTGTTGTTTTGTTTTTGCTTTTTGTTTAGAGGGAAATTATTAAACTGAATTGAAATTCCCTTGCTGCTTCCAAATGATTTGAGTAGATTGGAGTATTAACCTGATCTCCTTCTGCACAAGGATTAAAGACTCCAAGGCCAGAGGTGGCTCTTTTGAAGTCCAGAGAATCTTTTGCAAAGACTTTTTTTTGAACTGATTATTTGGCTTTTTGCTGCTTGATACCTTGTTTTGGTTTGTGACGTGGTATTTGTAGAATCTTGGGTTTCTGCTATTAATTAATCTTAAACCTGTGTGGCAGATAAATGACCTTGCCTTGTTTAACAAATGTGGAAATCTGTGTACTCTCAAAGAAACCCAGAGTTGTGAGCTGCTCAGTCGGTGGCAAGTTTCCCATTCCTTTTGCTGCCCAACCATTAATTATCCTGATTTTATCTTTTTATAGATGTAACAGTGGGGTTTCAGTCCACATAGATAAAATATCATAATGGTTTTTTTCTGTTGTAGGTAAATTTTACTGTAAACCTCATTTCACGCACTGCAAAATCAGTACCAAGCAGAGAAAGAGAAGAGCAACCTTACAGATCCAAGGAAAGGTAGGTATTGGTTATATTAGTAAAGAAGGGAATGTTGAGGCAGCTATATCTGGAGCAGGGTGCAATGCTTGCAAGTGTATGTGTGTGTGTGAGATGTTTTCTAGCTAATGTCCAGAAGCAGTAAAATAAATACTAAAATATAACCTCCTGGTTCTGTTTGACATATTTATAGTCTGGTTCTGAATGGAATTCAGTTTTTCCTATACAAAATAAATGTGAACTTAGGAGAAACTGAAAATGAGTATGTACATAAAGACTTGAAAACGGTAACAGAAATTGGATGTACCATATTTTAGAAGTATATATAACATTTTTTTAACACTTTATGTAAGGAGACAGCAGAAGCATGGAAGAAAGAGGAACCCAAACCCACAGAGACCACCACAGAAAGCACTTTGTCTACTGCTAGCAGTCCAGAGGACAGGTCCCCAGGTATCCTGACTTCCTTCTTTAGGGGCACACTAAGCTGGCCCCTTCGGGTGACAAGGGATCTGCTTGACATTCCCAGACGCCTGTCTAACTGGATGCATGGTTTTCTGCACGCTACCAATCTTCATTTCAGGGACAATGCATATAACTATACCTACTTGTATGAACTCTTGAGCCTTGGTGTGCCATTCCTCTGTGCTCTTCTAGAGGTACTTACTCATATGTACCGGGAAGCAGAGCTATCACTTGAAAATGTGCTTGAATGGGTGAAAAAAATTCTATAGGGTTTAAATTCTTCTGTGTCTTGCTCAATTTTGCCTTTCAGATTTTCAAAATTAACAGCCTCACTATTTTCTTGAGGGTTTTTTGTTGGTTTCTTTGGGGGTTTTGTTGGTTTTTTATTTGTTTGCTTTTTTTCTTTTCATACAGTTTAATGTGTGACTTAAATGAATGGTGGATTCCTTCTGATATAAATGAGGTGCAATCAAAAATTTCAATATAAAATGTACTGTACGTTAGAGCATGAAGGGCAGTGTCCCTACACATTTCCAGAACATGGCAACGGATGAAGGATGTCTGTAGATTTATTTTTTCCCTTGTTTTATCCTGTGATCAGACCATGGGGCATATGGTACATTTAAAAACCATGCTCCCCCCTGCCCTCCTCCTTTTTCTTTTTTTCATTAGACCAAGAAAGAATGTGTATTCTTTCAGATGTTTGGAGAATATTTATGATAAATGGACTGGGTTTTGAAACCTGAACATGGGGCATACCTTTTATTTTTTTTTTTCTTGCTTTCATTTTTGCTCTGGGTTATGAAGTTTTTAATTTGCATGAATATGTTAAAAAAACGTACTTATTTGCCATTGCTCCTAGTCATGCCTTTTTTCATTTCTTACATGGGATAGATACCCTTTGATGATAGTGGTCGTAATCTGTACTACTAATTTATTTAAAGTTTTGAAATAAATTTGAAGAGCAAATCTTAGTTGAGTGAAGGGTTGATTGAAACTAAGTCAAAGGAACTGATAGTGTAATTAGATCTGACTTCTTTCTCAAATTGAGGCTTCCTCCTGAGATGGCTCATTCGAGGAACATCAATTTATGGAGCACTCATCTGTAAGTGAAATCACTGCTGTGGTTCCTCTGGGTAGGCACAGCTCCTATTGTCCTTTGGAATTTTTTCTTTAAATACAAGTTTAGAGCAGTCAGCAAAAACCTAAAAATGTATTCCAAGGAGATTAATTCTTACTTGGCTGTTTCATTTCAATGTGTAACGGCAGAAAGGTGAAATTCTATCTGGAGCAGCTGTTAAGTAACTTTCTGTGAGATGTCTCTCAACAAGGTCTACCTTAATCAGAAGGTGTTGGGACAGGTTAAGTAAGCTATTTAGTGGCAAGGATACACCGATATCCCAAATCCTGATTACTTTCAGCCTAGTTAGCCAGCAAGGTAAGCATGCTCCCTGCCTCTCAAATACTTACGTGTTTAAATTCAGAAGTTAACAAGGAAATAGGTAAATACGTAAACATGGTAATATGTATAGCCTAAAATTAAAAGCACCTGTAGCATTTATTTCTAGCCAAAAGAATATGGCTTAAATAATAGGAAATAATGTTGCATTCCGTTAGAACCAAAGTTGAGGGTCACCTTCCAATGGTCTTAAATGACTGTGCTGCTTATGGGCTGGCAGTTTTTTTTCTTAGGCATAGAAAAGGAATTATCCTCTGTTTAAAGGAAGTGGCAGACAGGATTTTTCTTCTAGACAGTTTGACTTCCTTTAAACTATGAGGATAAAGCTTTTCACGGTTTAGAACGATGATGTATTTTGGGGGAAAACTTGTTAGTATATGCACAGAACTTGAAAATGTGCTTGAAGAAAATGGTTTAGGTATAAGGCAGCATTCATTTGAAATTAATTGCCATTAATGCTCAAACATGTATTCAGCAAAGCTTTGCTAGAATATTGACTGGACACAGCGACAATTACAGTAACCTGGTGGGCATCTGTATATATGTAAAGAAATGCATCTGTACCTTTTCCTATAGCATTTAAGAAAACCCAAACCTACTTTGGAATATTGTGTACTTTTTAATTGTTTGCTGATTATAGTTTCACTTTAAAAAGAAAAAAAATCTGTGCTGTGATTTCCATGTTACTCTTGCAACACAGCAAACTGCTAAGGGGTAAGTTCTAAAATCTGGCTTGCCATCAGTCCTGATGTCAGTTTGCCAACAGCACAGTCCTTAGGAACGCTGGTTCCTGAAATCTTCTGCCGTTCACTGCAGGAAATTTTCTGCTTTTCAGCAGTGTAATGGTAAACATACCATTGGTATGGAAAATGGTGATATAGTAAGAAACCTGGAAATCTCTGATGTCCAATGAATGTAAAGCAGATGAATCTTACTAAGAGAAAGTAGAAAATTAAAATAAAAAAAAATTAAGAAGATGACATTGACTTTATACAGATTTCTATAAGGAGGAATAAAATCCCTACAGTCCCACAACAGAAATCAGGAATCTGCATAATGAAAACATTTTCCTGAGGAATCTTAATTATACTGCGTATTCCACTGGGATTTTGCAGGTGAATCTGTGGGAAGGTTTTTTATTGGTGTCAATCTAATTAGTAGATTTTATTATTTTAGTTTTTTTATCTTAATATTCTGTTCGTAAGATTCATACTTACTTGTCCTCGTTCATGATTTAATGAAGAAAGGCAGTTTCATTTTGGCCAGTTCTTCTCTGTGCTTATGTAGTCTTTCTGATGCTTTCCTATATAACCAAGTTAAGGTCTGTGTTTTGGTTTTTTCCCCTGCTGTCTTCTCTGTCAATCTCCCTCATTGCTTTTAGTCCGTTTCATCATTCCGGTGCTGCACCCACTCACTGGCTGAAGCCTTTCTGCTCTCAGGTGATTTTTCTCTGCTTGCCAGTTCAAAAATTGTGTGACTAACACTGTTGGTTTGACAGCATTTTGTTGTGTACTTTTTTTTAAGACTTTTGGAGCAAACTGTGTGTGTCTGGTATATTAATGGATGCAAGCTTTGGCATGATCATTTAACCTGTTGCTGAGTTCACAGTTCTAGAAAAAGTAATGTCTGTGCTCTCTGTAGAGAATGTTTTTCTCTCTGTGTCTGTGCATGTACACTTCTTGTGCCTTTAAGGTAAGTTAGGTAAGTAAATTGCTTCTTGAAAGAACTAATTAAAGCCATATTTCTTTCAAAGTATTGAAGGAAAGATTTAAAATAAGATCAGGACAAGGTTAGCCAGCTGATTCTCCCAGTTAGTGTGAGCACCTACTTCCACTGAGCTCAAATATGCAATGAACAAGCAACGTTTGAGCACTGTGGTGCTTCCTCAGCACTTTCTTGCTTTCATACTGGAAAAGGACAATATAAAAGGATTCTGTTGGAAAAATTAGCCAAGGAGATGCAAATTCCAGTCTTTCACCCCAAGTAATGTGGTAGGCAGGCCTAACAGTAATATATATGCATGCTATTTTTAGTCTGATACCAGAATGCCAATTTTATATAACCAGTGTGTTTTGGTTTGAATTGCTTTGTTAACTAACTAGGCCCCATTTGCCACTGTGAGGAACGGATTTGTCTTGCTGCATGAGACCTTGCCATGCTCTCCATGACGAAGCTGTGTGATCATTCTGTACTTTTTACATTAAGTTCCAGTACGTGTAATCACACGTTGATGATCTAGAAGGGGAAATGAATCCAAACAAGAACCAAGGGCTCAGTCTGACAAGCATGTGCACTAAGGCTTTGCTTGACATGGTCATGACCCAGCCTTACCTGCTGAGGTTCTCTTCTAAAGGGAAGGGCCTCCGGGAATTGATCTAAGTGGCAATTTTCAGGAGAGGCCAGACATGCTCTGCCACTTGCCCCATTTCACACGCCTCGGCCAGGAATGCTGAAGGGCTGCAGGGTCAGAGCCCTACGCTCCTTATCTTGCTGACCCGTATGCTTGTGTTACTTGAGCAATAGTATTTATTTGTGTGGGTATGCCAGCATGTCTTGATGGCTTTGAAAGTCCTCACCTTGTGCCCACACAGAAACCTTCTCTGTATTTTAAGCATCACTTCCTGCACAAATGGTTAGGACGTGACTTCCTACGTATTTCAGGGCTATGGTGTTTTGTTACAGAGCTCAGCATGCTTTCAGATGAAGGTCATGACATAAAGGTCTGCCATTTCAAACCGCTTCCACTACTGTGTTTTTTACCCTCTGTTGCAGAGTCTTCCTAGCTCTTCCTGGCCAGTGAGGATTCTGTCCTTCTCCTCCTCAATCTTCTGTCTTCATTTTACTTTATAATCTTACCTGAATATTTTTATTAAATAGTTTTTAATGCTGTATTTAAATTTTCACATGGAAATTCTGTATTTTGCACACGGTGAAAATTGTTTTAGCTTTATTTATGATATCTGCTGTAAACAAAAATAAATGTAGTTCTTTATAAGTCTCCTTGTTTCATCTCTTCCTTTTAAAAATACTTCCTAAGGACAGAGACTTAATAGTGACTTCGCAGTGGTTTTGCACATTTCTTTTCTGGTGGATGCTGTCGTGTTATCCTTGTGGCCTGATCCAAAAGCCAGAGTTTCACTGTGGTGGCATAGTTGTATGCGTGTCCCTTTTGAAAGGGATCTACGTCAGGGTCCTTGGAAAGATATCCCACCCAGTGCCAACTGGGAGGTGGCTGGTGTTGGGATTTGTCCTTCCTGGGAATGATAAATTGGTGTTGGTGAGCACTGGGGCTTCTTGTATTGCATACACAAGTGGCACTTGTCCTCTCTCACTTCTGTTACCTTTCCTTATGTTTTTATTTTGCGTATTAACAAATGTCAGAAAGGTCACTCCGAGTTAATGTGTTTGTGATTTTATATTGTGTACAGGAAAAGCAGGTAATAACTATGGGTAAAGCTTTACTTTCGCTTCTAGCTCTGGAGTGCTATTTGCAAGCTCCCTGTATCTTCTGGATGCTGGGAAGCTGCGGCTAATGGTGACCTATTATATGTTAACAGTGGCCTTGTTTGTTTACTTATTTATTTATTTATTTAGCCTGCCTTTGCTCTGTCATCGCTTTCCCCCCCCTCCCCCCTTTAATTTTAATTTGTTGTTAAAGTTGGTGTTTGTGGTTCTTTCTCAACAGCGGGTTCTCCAATAAAGCTTTCCGAAGTCTTCCTCCCCTTCATCTTACTATTTTTTTTTTGCTCACTCTGCAATTCTTAAGCTGTAATCTCTTCCTTTGTATTTCAAGAAAAAAAACCAAATCCCAGAAAGAACAGTCCCAGCAATTTGATGGAAAGACCGTGTGATACGTTTTTTTAAAGTTAATTCAAACTGAGCCTGGGAAGGGTTGTTTGAGTGACAGAAATCAATGTTTTTAAAGTGTTGCTAAAGACAACATTGCTAAAGAACAACAAATGTTATTCCCAATGAACTGTTCCATCTTCCCTGCCAAAGAAAAAGCACCATGCACAGTAGAAAGTTTGTTGTCTGAGGGGGAGATGATTTGCATAACGAAAACACAGGGCAACAAATACCATTTAAGACAATACTTGGCACTTCCTTAATTGTCATGGACAAAACAATCTGGGTAAAACTCCATTTACTCTTTGTGCAACTTACTGATTCAGAGCAGGCTCATTTCTTCCATCTTGATCATTTTAAGCAGAGGCAGTGACATGGAAACCCCAGAAGAGGTTTTTGTGTCTGCAGAAGGTGATGATTTGTTTGGCACTGAAGCTTTGAGAGGCATCGGATGTTCATGCTGTTCTCATAAAGCTTCACTTACAATAACTTGGAATTGGGGTAATATTGGATTTGTTGTAGTTTGGTTTCTTGTGGTGGCACAGAGGTCCAAAAAGTCAAATCACTGGGAAATCATGTCACTGGAGAGATATACCTAGAAGTGTACAGTCCAAACCCTGGAGTGCTAGTGGACAAGACAAAACACCATGTATGGAAAGGAAATAAAAAGCAGACAAAATGAACAGCATGAGGGGAGAAAGTCTGGGCTCCCTTGCTCTGAATCAAAACTATTACACAATAAAACTGAATATTCCTTCCTTTGCTCCTAGTAATGCTGATGAAGGAACAGACTAGAGGGCTAAGTTCTGTGCAGATTTAACGAGCCTGATTTGGCCACATGAGCAGAGCTCCCTGTGGGTAGAAGACCTGAATCCTCTTCCTGCTCTTGAGCTGAGCTCTCTCCAAAAGCTCCAGTGCTCTCAGTCTCCAGCAGCACATGCTGTTATAAAGGCATCCCAAAGCAGTGATGCTTTGTCCCTTCACGTGGCTGGAATTAGCAGCGGTGCTTCTTTGAAAGGCAACCAGGCTGCTGCTCTGGTCTCAAGCTGCCGCTGAACTGGGTGCCTTCCAAAAACCATGGTTTCAGAGCAGAAGACACTAATGGCTCTTGACATAGCTAATGCTTTCTAAGACTTGAAAGTTACTTGATGCTATAGACGCCATTTTAGCACTAGAAGTACAGAGGTGATGTCTGCTGTGTCTGGCAGGCTCAGGAGTTGCTCTGTCTTTCCTCCTCTTTATACTGGTTCAAATGGGTTCTGAACTTGTCTGTTGCCATGAGGGCAAATGGATTGGAAGCACGTACACAAGTGTGCTGTTTCTGAAAAGCCAGGCTCATCGCAAAGCAAGGCAGCATTACCTGCCTACATGTCTGGCAGTGAAAATCAAACATGCTGAGATGCCGTAAAGGTAACTTGCTTTTCTTATGATAATGCTAATGCCTTATAATGAAAAAGAACTATGGAAAAGGGAGCACAGCCAAAACTTCTTAAAATTGCTCAAATTCAAACATCAGCCTTTCATTAGCTCTACAAAAAGAGTAATTTCTATTCCTCTTGCTTTCTTCTAGACTGCTACAGCTATAAAATGCCATTGAAAGTGGCTTCTCTATATATTCCAACCCCAAGCAAGGGCTGTGGTCTGGGTATTCCCACAATATTATGGCAATTAGTTACGATAATTGGCTTTAATTCACTTCTGGCTCACTCATTCCTCACATTCCAATCAAAACAGTGAGTTCTGAAATGCACTGAATTCTGCATTAATATTTATGTTTTTGAAGGCATGACATGTTTGCAGATGATGTAATTTTTTTTGCATTAAAGGTCATGTCACTGAAGCAGAAGGCAGTATGTATTAATGCTTGATCCAAGTATACCTATTAGTCATGTAAATGCTTCCCCAAGTCTCTCCTTTTCTTCATGAACTCTGTTAATATAAAAAGAAGGGAGGCTTTGATCTCATCTCCTCAGGTGGTGGGCTCCAAAACTGTTTGAAATGGATGGAATTTCTGATATGTTATTATGAAATGTGAAATTACAAAGGAATTTGTATGTTGCTATAATCTTGAATTTACTCTTTCAGCATTTACTCCGCAGGCATTCATTCACGTCTTTGTTTTAAGGTGTTTGATGCTTTGAGTCTGTGTCCAAAGGTACTACTTTGACAGACACCAATCACTCTGGAGACTGAGACAGTTGTCACCACACTCCAAATTCACCATTACTACATGCATTAATATACCAGACTAACACAGATTGCTCTGATAAAATATATATTTACTCTAAGATTACAGAAACTGTGTGTTACTGTAGCAGGTTTTGTTTGAGAAGCAATTTTCCATACAGGTTCACCTTCAGTTTCTCTAGTAGGCTTTCACTAAAGTGCTTTTTCCTTCATCTCTGTTCAGTTTTGCTCGGTTTGTATTAGAGTGTTAATGTGCACCATCCCGGATGCATTCGAAAGTTGTGTGCTTTGGGCTCTGTCTTGCTTTGCCAACTTCACATTCCCTGGTCATATTTCATGCCAGAATTCAGACGTGTCTGTTTATCAAGTAAGTAAGGTACTTTGAAAAA